CCTTGCACATGAAACCACTTTTAAAGGAAAGTTTTTTTTTATTATCACATTTTATGTGTAGTTTTGAAATTGAATTTGACCTCATTTTACAGTATTTGAATTTTTATCTTCCCCATATTATACATGGCTGGGTAGCACAATGACTTGGAGCACTGGGTGTATGGTCCTGCATTGTTCTTCTCCAGAGAAAGGCCAGTAGTTGTTGTTGTTTGTTTGCTTTTTTAGCAAAATGCGGGGTCAAAGAGCCCTATCAGCAAGAGGAATGGCAAAGTACTTCTGATTACTTGATATATGGAAATTCTGATAGGGGTTACTTTTGCTATTTGTTATCTTGATGCAATTTCCTGTTACTCCCCAGCCACTGAAATCCATTAATACAGGACTTCCAAACCAGAGCTTGGAAGTAACTGTAGCTTGTGTGATTGGGAGGGACATTTCTGGGCTTGGGTGAGTCTCAGTCTCTCAAGTACTAAACAATTGTTCCTTTCTGCCTCTGAATTCAAAAAGAGCCCTGCCTCTCTGCTGAATTTTCATTTCCCTCTTTTTAGTCTGTTGAAGTCAATTATATTTTCGTTCCCTGTTGATCTGTTCACATTGTAAGTAACGGCACGATTTTATTGTTTCTTCTACAAATGTCACAGAGGGAGTTATTGATACTTTAAATGCCAGCTAATGAGAAAGGGGTGTTCTCTGGGAAACCGGTAGTTATCCTCTTCTGTGTGCCTGTGTACTTCTACTGTGTAGCAAAAGGAATTTACGCAGGAATTCAAAATTCTGCAACAGTAACTAGTTCCAAACAACTTGTCTCCTGTAATTAGTTCCCTGAAGCAGTTACTTAGCTATAACTAAGTACCGTTAAAATTAAGGAGTATCTTCTCTATAGTATAATTTTATTGGAGGAGGACTGTCATGTGGTTCAAGTGCTAGGTTACACTGTGCTTCCTCTTCTCTCATGGTGTTCAGATACTACTTTTCTTTCCTACAGAATTCCCAGAACAAAGGAAGTCTGCTGCCCCTTTATGTTTTTAAACTGACTTATTTTAATGTTGTTTTTTAAAAAATATTATGGGCCTTTAGTTGGCAATACTGGGCCTTTCCCTGTCTGTTAGTGTAACCTGTGTCAGAACTAGTTGGTTAGAGAGAGGACTATTAAAAGCTCCATGGAGAAAAGGTGGAAGGTAAATATAATAAATAAATTTTAGGTGATCAGCAAATCTACCCCTTGCAAAAGGAGGGGATGAAGTCACATTGTGCAGAATTTTTAAGAAATCTACATCGGACAGGTGGTTGTTTGCACTACTTTTTAAACTACAGTGGTGCCTTGACTTACAAACGCCCTGACCTATGAACATTTTGTCTTATGAACAGATCTGGCTGCAAAATTTTGCTTTGACTTGGGGCTGGAGCTTTGACCTGCGAACGGAAAAAGGCAGGGGGAAAAGGCGGGAAATTAAAAAAACCTATCCGTTGGTGGCGAAGAGGCTGCTTCTTTGTAGCTCTTTCGCCCCAACGGTTAAGGAAAGGGAGGCTCAGCCTCCCAGGTTTCCAGTGCTGCCACTAATTGCCGCCTTCGGAGGCCTCCTGGAGTTTCCCCGCCACCATGGGAGACATCCCAGGGGTCCCCCGCCACTGCCAATCACTTCCTTCAGGCTTTCCCATGGGGTAGACCGGGCCTACCCCCCAGGAAAGCCTGAAGGCGGTGACCGGTGGCAGCAGGGGACCTCTAGGAGGTCACCCATGGGGGTGGGGAAGCCCTGGGAGGCCCCCGAAGGCTGCATTTGGCAGGGGCAGGGGACCCCCGGAAGGTGTCCCATGGTGGCAGGGAAGGCTTCGGACCGGTAAGGTGCTTTTTTTGTTTTAAAAAAGTTGTTCTGGGTGGGTTTTCGAGGGTAGATGTGGGCTGGGGGGTATGTTTCTGTGCTTTGTTGTTTGTTTTTTGGTGACTTTTTTTGCAGTCCCAGCGTGGGACTTGCTCCACTGTTAATTTTTTGATTTGTTTGGTTTTTGTTTTTGTTTTGCAGTCTCAGCGTGGGACTTGCAGTGTTTTATTTTTATTTGGGGGGGGGTATTTGTTTCTTTGGCCGGAACGGATTAATTGGTTTTCAATGCATTCCTATGGGAAATGGTGCTTTGACTTACAAATGTTTTGATTTACGGCCACTGTTCCAGTACGGATTAAGTTCGTAAATCAAGGCACCACTGTAGTTAGTTACAGAGTAGTATGGATATTAGTTCCCCCAGCTCCAGCATCTGCATACGTATATCTAATGATAATTGGCAATTATGCATTGCATTTGGTTTAATCTAAGTACTGTATAAGTTGGATCCTTCGATCTTGAGACTGAGACCCTTCTTTCCATCCTGCCTCTCTTCATAAGTGTTTTGTGTGGTGACAGTAGAGAAGAGTCTCTGCGTGGTTCCAAGGTGATGCAAATCCTTCTCAAATTCCCTTTCAGAGCATACCTCTGCTGGTTTGCAAATATCTTTCTAAACAAGTGGGGCATTGGCAATTAAACTGGGTGCTGTACTTTTTGTTTTTCAAAGGATTTGCTTTTGATCACTTTCAACCCTCATGCAAGAGGATTGAAAAAAATCATTGAATAAATTGTGGCACATTTTCTCATTCTAGCTAGACTTCCAAAGAATTGAGGTTAGGGTTTCTTGAACCCCATGAAAATTACAGTGTGCCCTCATCAAAGAGGCAAATATGGGGACAACTAGAAAACACATTGTTAATGTGGTATGTACAGTATATTGTTTAAAACATTACATTGGCTGGGGCAAAAATTTGACTTGAAGAGTCTAAAATGACCCATGATCATGCATGAAGATTAAAATTGCTAATTGTCATTGTTTCAAACATTCTTAGCATTTCATGTTCTTAATGAGAGCTTGCTTATTTCTGCTATTATCAGCAAAATCAATCCACTTTGGGGAGGTGGAGAGAAAGGATATAAATAAAGACTTATCAGTAGAATTCCACTTGTTGAACTATTTATTGGAGGAGTTTAAAAAATCAGCTTTTTCCTGCTGGTTATTTCAAGGGGAGCTTGTTAACCTGCCCCACTTAATGAAGGAACATGTTTGAATCTAACCCACTGTTATTTTTACTTCTTGTGGGCTCCTTGACCAAGCCCCAACATTTGATTTGTTTAGTTTGTAATCTCTCTGGTGATAGAATTATTAGCATTTAGCAAAACTGCTGTAAGCTGCTATGATCCTATGAAATAAAAAATAATAACGAACAATAGCAACAACAATAATAGTGTGGTAGGCTCTGAGCTTGCAGAATGGAGAATAATTAAACTGCATGAAAAGGCATTTTCTTTCCATCTTTCAGATCACAGGATAAAATATTTTCACAGTGAATTGTTCAGATCAATTTGTTGTTCATGGATTAAATAGAAACAATGTATGTACTCCATTTGGGGGGCCTTTACATCAATCCACCACGTTGCCAGATATTTTATTACACAACCTTTTTCAAACGTTCACATAAAATGTGTTTAAGGATCACTAATCTTAAACATTTTTTTTAAAAAGTTGAATTGTAAGCCTGAAGTTTGTGCTGTCAAGTAGGAGCTGATTTATAGCGACCATGATAGGGTTTTCAAGGTAGGTGGTTTTAACAGTTTAACCTCCTCCCCCATGAGTTTCTATGGCTAAGCAGGAATTTGAACCCAAGTCTCCTGAGTCCTAGTCTGCCACTATTCACTACATCGCACTGGTGGTCAAGCCATAGGATAGGACCTTTACTCAAGACTGAAATTAGCAGGCTATAGAGAAAATGATGGTATAGAAAAACCTGGAATTTGGATAACCATCATTGATGGAAGAGAAAGCTTGTTTTTCTTGTGTATAAGGAGTCTTCAAAACTTGAACACCCAACCTCTACCTCCTCCCAGTTTGTATCAGGACTCGCTTGTGTGTTTGCATCAGTGTACTCGCTTCCCTCTGAACCTTATCTCCCTTACTTCTGTGATATCATATGCTCACCTTGGGCTCCCAGGTATTCTTGGACTACATACAGCTGTGCACCAGCAAAGCTAGTGGTGAAAGCTTCTGGGAATGCTAGTCCAAGAACATTTGTGGATCCAAGATTGGGAACCACTGTTCTAGATAGTTTCATGGGGCTTACTTCTGTTAAATGAGTATTGCAGCCTGTGTATTTCTCCACTCCTAGACCATTCATTTCAGTTTTTTCATAGTGGAGAGAAGCAGTTCTGACATGAGCTCTGAAAAAATGCAAGTGGAAAGCTGCAGAATTAAAGGAGGAAGTCTTTAAGTACCAAAAATCCCCACTTGTTAGTTACATTTCACCGTAACAGGATTTTGGTCATTCTCATGCTCCTAGATGCTTGTGTTTAAAATGGAATATCTAACCATTCCTATGTAATTTTTTGATTTAGAATACCATCACTTTTATATCTCTTCAGATTGTGTAACAATTTATCAATGCTAGTGGGTTTAACCAAACTTAACCAAAGTTTGTATCGTGGGGCACTGAATATGTAAAATAAAAAAAGGTTTTGCTAAGAAATGGAACAAGCAGAAATCTAAGAAGCTAGCCAGGTTTCAGTTGATCAAGTCTGGAAATGTATTAAGTCATTAGAAAGCTATTAAACCCAGTTCAGAGAAATTGGAAAGCTGTTTATGCTGACATGTTACATCAGCATTTCTTAATCTGATGCCAGTTTGCTACCTTGCTAATGTGCTTTACTGTTCTTTAGAAAATAAAATGGTATTGATTTTCATTCTTTTACCACCACCTCATTACTTTTCAGCCTGATTTAGAGTGTTAATGTTTTTTCTTATATTTTTCTGTGTTTGTAGAAAGAAAACATAGTTTGTTTTGTTCCACCTTACTAAATGATTTCCAAATGTCCAACAGCCTCTATTTTTAAGAAAGGGAACTGTTCTGAGGTCTTTAGAATAAGAAATATGACCACATTAGAGAGGTTGTTTTCTGGTGTATAATAGATTTTGTTTTATTTTTGTAGGTTACCATTGCTAATATTGGAATAAATGAAAAGAATTCTTCGGAATCCTGTGAAACAATACTTTTTGCTCTTCGAATGGCGACGTGGAACCAAATTTTAGATCCATGGGTATATATTCTTCTCAGAAAAGCTGTTCTTAAGAAACTCTTCCAGATTGCTAGAAGATTTTGCGGCATGCACCTCATTACCTTTCATACATGGGAACTCAGCTCCATTAAAAATTCTTTAAAAGTGGCAGCTGTTTCAGACTCACCAGTTAACTCCAAGCAAACAAATTTGCAGCTACTCAGTTCACCAGTGCCGTAAAGAGAAGCACGTGGAATTCTGGACACATCAAAATACGTCTGAATGGGCTGATTTCCCCACTCTTCTTTAAAACAGTTAATCTGTTTTAAATGTCTTTTCGGTTTAAGGGTGTATGTCAGTCTAGAACTGCTATTCAAAGACCCTCAGAAAAAAAAATTATCCTTATGTGTCCTGTTCAGCCAAATGTAGTGCCAAAGAGTCTAGAATTCTGTATAACAGAATAAAATTAAAAATGAAATAATAATCAAACATATTGTTAAGCATTAAATGTTCTGTTGCGAACAGTGTGGTAGATACATAGAATGACATTGGCTGCTTCGAACGAAAACAGTGACTTTCAGTAAAGTTGTAAAAAACGAAGCCAGATCCACCTGTCTTGAATACTTTGAAATCCCACTGATGTCAGTGAGATATATTTGAAATGCTGGATAGCTCAGTGGCTTTGGCTGCGGAGCCAGAGGTTGGGAGTTTGATTTCCCACTGTGCCTCCTTGGCAAGGGGCTGGATTCGATGGTCCATGGGGTCCCTCCCAGCTCTGCTGTTCTCAGATTCAGCAAGAACACAAGTGTTACATTAAGCAGAACATCAAAGTGTTCTTAACTTTGGGTGGGTCAGGTTGTTGTATGTGTCATAAGGATATAGAGTTTCAAACTTCAAAGGCACTTAAATGTTTGGTTAAAACAGATGTCAGGCAGCATGCCATGTGTATATGAGTTGCAGAAGAGCAAAGGTTTGGTTAAAACAGATGTCAGGCAGTGTGCCATGTGTATATGAGTTGCAGAAGAGCAAACACAGGAAGGTATTTGTTGCACTTATGGCCTGCTGGTGGTCTCCCCACTGGCAATTATTGGAATAAGCGTGCAAGCAGAATACAGGACTAGATAAAACTTTGGTTGATCTAGCAAGATAGTTATTATGTTCTTAGATTAAAAGAGGATGGCTGAAATCCTATTGCCTTGTTAAGCAAATAATAAGCCCCTGCAAGGCTTCTTTGGAATGCACAGGCTTGCTGTGTGTTCAAGAATCCCAGAAAGGACTGAGCTAGGAAGGACTGAAAGTTATGCCTTTGGTGCAATGAAGCAACAGGATTTCAGCTGATGCATTTTGCCTATAGAGGATGAAACCTAACAGGTATTGAGGCTAGAATGAGGATGCAAATAATAAAGTGTCTTACTGTTGATGGTGGCAATGAGTTTCTGTGATGTGTTAGCTTTAGAAGCTGTACACAATCTTACTATTATAATGTTTTCACTTTCTTGTACAAATATAGCATTCAAACCTGACAAGAAAGAGTTTCACAAATTTATGGAACTTAGATTTACAGCTGCAGTGGCTTACTGCAAACTGGATGTCTCGTCATCATAATTTACAAATAAATTACATATTATGGGAAGAAGAGTTCAGAGCATATCTATAAGTACAGTGTCCAGTTAAACCTGGAAATTCTAGAACGCTGTGTCATTTGTTAATTTATTGGATGTCATATTACAGTCATATGGTCATGTTGCAACCATGTGATGATGAAATGATCAGCTAAGTATGGTAAAACTTACAAACACACTGCATTCGTATTTATGCATTGTAAACTTGTTTTGAAATATCAGGCACTGAATGTTAATTGTGATTACTCAAAAATCATTGTTATGTAATAATTAATGTTATGCTTCTTTGAGACCTCAGTTTGTCATGACAAATATGAAAAACAAAATGTTTGTCTGTTTTATTGAGGTTATAATCAAGCAGGTAGGCATAATATTTTTAAAAGTCACCATGAAAAAGTGATAATAGTGATGTGAGAATTGCATCAAACTTTCTTTGATAGAAGTATAATAAAGTAAATATGACATATACTTACAAAATGTTTGAGGTAGAAGATTCTGCCTCAACTGTGATGTTTCAAATTGAATTTTAAAGTAATTTTGATACAGGAAGAGCTAGAGAAAGGGACAGAAAGGAGCTTAAATGAAAAAAAAAGAATTACTGCTGCCCCATAAGTAAAGGATATTACAGAACAAAGCTGGAAAAGCCTTTAAAATTAACAGTTCACTAGCCTTAAATTTTTGAATGGAACTACTATATTGTTTACACACCAGCTTCCTATCATTCTGCAAAAATATTTCAAGTTGCTTAATAATTTCTGGGATCTTAGGCAACTAAGTGTCTGGGGTTTTGGTGTCCTTTATGAGCTTATGCAATTCATCTGTCTGTTTGAACTGCAGAAAGTGCAGTGTCAGCAAAAGAGCAGATGCTAATTCTAACCTGTAATTTCTTTATGAGCAAAGGTAAATAATTGAAAAGAAAGATGCTGTAAGTAAAAAACCATGAATTGGACCCAGAATAGTTTTCTGAATAACAGCAGTAACTGAAATATGTGTGTGAAATAGTACATTTGCTGCTGCTAAAGATGTGTTGTTTATTGCTCTTAATCCCTCTCCTCTAAATTTGATTTGACACTAGAGATATGCTTAAATGCAGTAAATATCACAGAAAGGACATAATCCAAAACGTGTACACTCTGTATTACATGCAGGAGTAAAGAAAGAATAGATCATCAATTTGCAAAGTTTGGGCCTGTGTGACTTAACTGTCCGGTTGAATGCGCCCTGCTTACTATGGTTTGTGACCTTCCAGGTGATTCCCTGTTTTTGTACCTCGGGTGGCACTAATAAAGGAGCTTCAGGCTCCCAACTGTAGTCTTACCAGTAGGTCAAAATGGCAGATGTGAAGCTCTATGTTTCTGGATTGTAATTCCCAGGATTCCTTAGACAGCTGTCCAAAACTAGAAACCTTTACACCTCTGCTCAAAACTCTTGTTAGTACTACCTGATGGTATGTGGATGCTGGGCAGTGTGCAAGCCTGGCAAAAGAGTGGATTAATAGAGTATTAATAAGTGTTATTATATGGTCATAGACCTGAAAATTCAAAGATAAGAACATAAGATATACAGAGTAAATACAGGTGTACCTTTTAATCCGTATTGGGACTGTGTTCTTAAGTCGAAACATTCTTAAGTCGAAACACCTTTTCCCATAGGAATGCATTGAAAACCATTTAATCTGTATTTGCTGTTTTTTGTTCTTATGTCGAGGCACTGTTCTTAAGTTGAAGCTGGTTAATCCGTATCTACCACTAAGGGGCGATTCTAATTTTTTTCTTCTTCTTTTGACCTAAGGTGAACTTAGGTAAAAAAAAGGGCAGGAAAGGTGTTTTTTAAAAAAATCTTTTTTTGGTTCTTAAGTCGAGGCTCCGTTCTCAAGTGGAAGCAACTTTTTGCGAACGGAGCTGTTCTTAACTCAAATCGTTCTTATGTAGGGACGTTCTCAAGTTGAGGTACCATTGTAAGTTGTTAGAACATATTGACGATATTAATATTTAGTGCTGTGAAGGAATTTAGACTCGTAACAGAATTAAATGAATATTTATATTGTGGTGGCAAGGACTGAGTTTAACTACTTTTTTGTCAGTCCACTTACCATCAGATGCTTTGGCGCTGAATTTAATGCTGTAAATCTGATCTTGGAATGCGTTAGGTATAACCTCTGATAAAATCATGCTTTATGGTGAAACAGATGCTTCACATGAAGCAGGTTATCAGCCAGTGTAGAGAATGCTAAGGTAGGTGGAGCAGCTATTTGATAGCTTCATAAACTAGGCTTTTCGTATCAAATCAAAACTATCACTGTACTGCACCACTGAAATAACATGGTGAGTCAGCACTAAAATTGTTTTTTGTTGTATGAGAACATGACATCAGTGTATGAAATAACATGCCTCAATTTTTCATCCCTTGGGATGAAGAATTTGCTTTAGCAGCTGCTGATTGATGCTCTACTATAAAGTTGTGGAAATGCTTGACTAGTGAAAAGAGCATGGGATTTTCCCTGTTTCTGTTATGTGAATACATGTGATTGTGTCTGTATATAGATATAGATATAGATATACATATGTACAGTTTTACCATTTTTTCCCATTCTGTCTGACTCCTCCATGTGTGTATATATGTTTTCCTGTATTCAATGCATTGAGCAAATGTAAAATATAGTGCCTCATTATCCTTACTACAACATATCTCTTGAATAATAATGTTTTTCTATGTTATTAAGTCTCAGAGATGTCAAAAATGTTAGGAAGCTTTTTGGGAGTTGTATGGTTTACAAACTTAAAGTTGACTCTTGGTTAACTTTCCATGCTTGCACATAAATCTATTTAAAATATCCTCCTCTTGCAGTCTTATTCTTAGAAAAAGTAGTGCAGCGAATGTAAATGGTGGTATAAGCATTCTCTGGTATGTTCCACGGTATCTAAGCACAGTTATTATTCATCTCGTGTACTGCTCTGGAGTACTGTTTATGTATCTTTCTGGTCCAGTTTTACTTTTGTTTTTAGTAAACAAATGGGTTCTGAAGGAATCTACTTTCTTCATATTAAAAGGAAATTTGGTGACTAATTGGAGTTTTACCTGGTTGAAAACTCCTTTATGTAAAAGCTTCCCCACATGTTGGCTGAAATCTTCATGGTGGAGCTGCAAAGTCATAAATTGTGATTATTTCATCAACCACAGATTTTAATTTAAACTTCAATATCTGCCTCCTCATGTTTTAAGGCTCCCTAGGGATCCCTGTCAGCCTTGGGAAGCATTTAGGAGCCTCAGGACTGAAGGAGGAAGCCTATAATATCTGAAAATTTCTGGTTGAAGTTTAACATCCATGGCTGAGGATGTCACCCTTTACAGCCACAACAGTAATCAGAATTCCTCTCTAGCATTTAACCCGACTTGCTAGTTTTCTGTGCAAGCTGTTTAGTTTTTGTTTCTCTCTTTTAATGAGGCTGTTCAATCTAATCTCCATGGTCTTTATAAAACTCAAGTCAAATGTATTTCTTCTAGAAGACGAGGAATATTGGCATGACCAATAAGAAGATCAAGTTATACAACAAAATGTTGCAGTGTGGAGTGCTCTTAGGTTTCCTGCCATTCTGATATTTTCCAATATTCTATACCAGTCTGTCCTTCAGTTTCCCGATCATCTCCACTCAGGTAGCATTCTTTACC